GCCCCCGCCCGCCGCCCCGCAGGAAGTGCGCGGGGCGCCCTCGGCCGCTGTCCTCCCAGCGTCCAGCCTCGCCTTCCAAGAGGCTGGCCTTGTGGAGACTGCGCGCCGTCCCCAGAGTAAATGTTTAACGGAAATCAGAGGCGGAAAAAGACGTTGGAGGATGCTGTTCCATTCCACCCGCGATCACTGCTGCGCCCACGGGCAGCCACGCCTGGGGCTGGGGGCTTTGGGACACTCACGTGGGTCGGGATCTTCTGTCCTCTGAAATAACCCAGAACGAAAGGGATTACGACGCGTATTATAAGAATGGCATAAAAGGCGATGAGGCCCAAAGGAGAGAGAGAACAATAATTCAAGGAGACGGTGTGGGTGTGTTTTTTTTTGTTTGTTTTTTTGTTTTTTCAAATGCACGCTGAGATCCCCGTGCCATCTTGCTTCTGCCCCTGTTTGTGTAATGGTTAAGCCTCAGAAGAGTGAGAGCATCAGTAAATAGAGGGAGCGCTACAAATAATACATGACCCACACCTTGACTGAACTGCCTTTTGTAAGAGGTTTAAGTTCATTTTCATGCTTTTGTGCTTCCTTTCTCGGCCGTTGGCTGAGCTAGATTCTCAGTTTTATTTGCTAGCAGAGCAGACATAGTCAAGGCATTACTTCAACTCTTTGGGGTGCAAGTTCACCTTTTTCCACCTTACCTGTCTCTGCAGCTTTTGTTCTTAGGGCCGACTCAGCAGAGATAACTAGTCCGCGCAAGAACAGATAAGAACAAAGTAACGAGTTAGACGGCTCATTGTGAGGGCGCATCTTTTTCTCTCTCCCCAAACTCTATAGGTTTGTCCCATTTCACCTGACAAATCTTGAAGTTGAGATTTACTGTGATCTCCCCTACACTTTTATCTAGAAACAAGTGATCCTTTAGCAGGAGGAGAATGCAGAGAGTTGAAGCTAATCCAAAATAAATAACACTTAGAGACTCATTGAGCTTCAAAGATTTTCCTTGTTTTCCCTGCTTTAATTCGTTGGGCCTTAGAACGCAAGTTATAATCTTTTACCTCCCCCAACGTGTATCTGCCTTGGTTGGTGAGAATAGAATTCAGAGGGCACTGGGAACAATTTTAAATGCTGCATCTATCTCACAGGAATGCCAATGTCTAGTCCTTTTGGAATCAGGTAAAATTAATAATACTTTTATATTCAAGGGCTGCTTATAATTACTACAGACCCTGTTCACTGTTCTCCTGATTGGCATTAAAATAAATAGCATGACTATAACTAGAAAGAAGTGTTCTGTAGATGGGTATTTCTTATCGGATGGTGTTATTTACACCACCACACCGCCATCACATAATAGAGATATTATTAAACTCCACACAGGTTTCTCCTCAGGACATCGGGGAAGAGTGAAAAGTGAGCCACATTTGAACTCCTGTTTAGTCACCACAAGTAAGTGACCATGAGCAAGTTGCCTAATGGTAATAAACTTTCTTTCTAACCTACAAAGGACAGGGAGCAGATGATAGTACCTTAAGTGGTGGTCGTGAGAATGAAGTAGCATTCTCTAACATTCCTAGCAAGAGACTGATGTGGAATAGGTGCTCCCCATATGTTAATTCCCTTCCTTCCCCTCTTCGTTGGGTTTTCTCTACTATTCTTAGGATACGATAATCATAAAGTTTTCATAATTGAATGTCCCACACTCCAAACTCCTCAGTTTGTGTCAGAGTACTATTTTTCTATGCTCCCACCAAAAACCCAAAACAAAACAAAAGCAAAAAAAAAAGAGATCCTAAAAGGCCATATGAAATAGTTTATTTATTTTACAATTTCCTGGTTGGTCAGTGGCATCTGGCCACAATGATCCAGTGGGTAGTCATCAAAACTAAAGAAAGTGAATTTCTATGGAAAACATTTTAGTCTAAAGTTTCCACCATTCAAATTTAGCCTAGGACTGCCTATTCATATTCACCACTTCCTGTTGTATTTCAGTGTTCCTTGTGGTGGGAAACTGTCACTGAAATAACGTTAAGTGTCCCAGAGTATTTGACTAGGCTTCTTCTAAGAGTTTCAAAGCAACATGGTGCTGAGGAGGAAAAGCAAAGTTTTTGCATGAGAGAATTTTGTAGCGTTTGGTGGAATTTGCGGAGAGAAGCTTGGATTTCTAGGGCTGAGTTCTGAGGGAGAACACAGTGGATGTATGTGCATGGGGCATGGGGAAATGCCACCAGAACCAGAGAACACAGCATGGGGCCTTCCCCCATCCATAGGTGATCTTGAGCACCGAGGCTGGTTCATTTCAGGAGACAGGGCCTTGGATTCCAGGATTTGGTAAGTTTGCCAAGCTGGAATCCTGTAAACTTCACTAGCAAGTCTGTGAGGATTTTACATGAGCACCCAGACCTCAGAAACAAAGCGGAGTCACAAAGGAGCATTCTCTCCTTCTCTCCCCTGGTACAGCATGTGCTTAGGCTGTATTCATGTTTGTGTTAGCTGCTTACCCTCTTCTGATTTTTAATACAATCATAGCTTTATTCTATACGGCATCCCAAACCCTGCCTCAAAATAACACCAGCACTTCTGAAGTGGACGGCTGATGAGGACAAAGGAAGTTTTCAAAGAGCATTCAGAGTGACATGGAGAAAGCCACAGAGGGTTGTCTCAAACAAGAGGAGCAACTGAGAAGGCACTGTCACCAACAGAGGCAAAATTGTGTGGATCATTTAATTCAGTCAACAATATCCCAGGAAAAAGCAAAAGCCAGCAGGTCCACTTGAGGCCCAGATCTGAAGAGTTTTGCAAACAAGAAATTGGACCTTGCCCCAGAACCAGCAGAGAGATCTGTAGGTAAATGATAGGATCATTTTATCTTCCCATAACAAAGTACCTGGCTCCAAAAGCAAGGAGACCCTCTGCAGTGAGTAATGCAGAACAGATCATGGACCAATGCCTAAGAACCAGCTGTGACTTTCTTAAAATGCAAATTTCTGGACTCCGTTTAAGAGAGTCTGATTCTGGGTCGGGGCCTGGAATCTGCATTTTTTTAACAATCTCAGCCAATGCTCATGCTGATACCGGTATATAGACCGTACTTTAAGAAACACTGTTTTCGGAGCTCCGCCCATTTCTCTAAACTATAAATGATATTCCAAACCTTTTGTAAATAACATTTTAAGTGCTTTCTTTGGAGATATTTCCTGTTTGCTGAAAAGTTGCTTAAAAATCAAACTTATAAAATGCTATTACAGGGTCCTTTACCCTAAACTTTTATGGTTATTTTTATTGAAGATCTACCAGGTGCTTAAAATTGGGGAGAACTCAGATGAACTAGACTGTCTGTTGACAGATTCATTTTGTAGTGCTCCATTGTGACGTGCCTCACAATGGAGCACTACAAAATATCTACTCCATTGTGACGTGCCTCACAATGGAGTAGATATTTCCCAGAGCCCCAGAAACTTCCTGGGCTATAGCCCCGAGTAACTGAGCCTCATCTGGCCATAGAAATGTAATTCACTGCCATCACAAGGGACACCTGCTCCTTGGCTTTCTTCACAAGCAGATTGACAAGTATTGGAACCCCTGGCACTGAATCTTATTAGCAGTGAATCTTTAGATAGGATGCAAAACCTATTTACTGGCTGTGTGTCCAGGTCCATCTCTAGTAATGATCTTCGAAAGGTATCTAAAAGATGAATATTCAGACACAGGAGGACCCAGCAGGTCCACTCCCAGAACATAACAAAAATACATGTGTATATTCACCAAAAGATGGAATCAAGAATCTCCACAGTAGCGCTACTTGTAAGTTTATGTAAAAAACGTCATCTAATCTGCAAACCTCATTTCATAAATGAGGAAGCTGAGACCCAGAAATTTTAAGTAACTTGCTCAAGGCCAACCAGCTAGTGCTATTGCTAGTGTGACCTTCCATTTGGATGCATAGTGATTCAAGTGTGGGTTTGGGGAATACTAATTTAGGTAAAGCCAAAGGTAAAGGAATGAGGAGAGAGAGAGGGAGGGAGGGAGAGAGGGAGAGAGAGAGAGAGGAGGGAGAGAGGGAGGGAGGGAGGAGGTGAGAGAGAGAGGGAGAGACAGAGACAGAGACAGAGACAGAGAGAGAGACTGAGGGCGGGGTGGGGGGGCGGGTAGAGAGAAAGAGAAAGAATCAGCAACTATTATTTGCCCACCAGTCATGTGCCCCTTTTCACTGTTCTGTCTCTCTTCCTCCCTCTCCCTTCAAATCGGTGTTAAGAGGATCTAATGTCTGGAGCTGTTAGAGCCATCTTGTGGCCAAGAGTGGCAACATTCTCAGTACTCCTGAGGACAGCCAAGTATCCGGATAAATGGAAAGAGCATGTATCTTTGATGGCATCATTGAACCACTCCACCTAACCCAGCGGTCCCCAACATTTTCAGCACCAGGGTCCAGTGCTCCTATGAGAATCTAATGCCTGATGATC